CACATGATAAGAGTAATCAAGTGAATCAAACTCAATGTCAGGTTGGATACCTTTAGATCTCAGAAATTAATACATAAAATTAATTTAAGAAAAAGAATTTGCCTAGTTCGTTTAACCAAGTATGTGCATCGTGAGTTCCATTTCTAATATCCATCAGGACATTCTCTCAAGTAGAACAAGAATGTAATGACCTTGATAGCAACCCATATCCACTCCAACAGGTAGAATACAGGCAACTTCCTAGAAAGGAGTTCTGAGCTCCAGACTAATATACTTAGTAAAGGGATAGAACACTACACTCCTGATTAAAAGACGGAGGAAATCCTAAAAGCTCACTTTGCCTACAGTGAGGAAACAGGATCTTCAGTGCCTCTTTCACCTTTACTGTGTACAGGATACTTCTGATCAGGAGGGGCCATAGAAAAAGGATGAGCTCCTAGGTGTGGATCAGAAGCTGGAGGACCGATTATTCTTCCAGTGCAACATGAAGATTTCTGTCTCTGTTTAACCCCAGATTGAAAATGCAATATACAGGACATCAGATTGAATCTCCCTCTTGCATCCTCCCTTTGCGAACTCTGCCAAGAACCTCTGGTTGCCCTGACCAGCTTGTAACCATCTTTCTCTGTAATCCTCCTCTGCAGCCAGTTTCTAAGAGATCAGTTGCCCATGTTTGAAGTCTGCTCTAATACGGTGATGCTGTTCAAGCTTCTACCACATTTCTCTGAAAACAGCTAAGTTGTGAGAAAGAGCAGTGACAAGCCTCATGTGGGGCCTCCACTCACACACCCTGTGCTCCCTGGCTTGGGAGCTGCAGTCACCCACCCCGTAGGTAGGTACACTGCACAGGGCCTTGCACCTCACTGGCTTCCTCTGACTTGCTATCTGGACTTCCTGGCTTGACCTCAGACCTGTCTTCTAACAGTGGACTTGGCTAGTGATCACTGGGCTGCAGCTGACCCTGGCTAGCATCACCAGACCTGCTCTGTTCTTCTTGTTCAGGTTCTTTGAGACTGCACCCTGTCAGTGAGGTCCCTGCCTGCCTGTCACCCTTAACTCTCAGTTTGCCTTCCCCTGTGGAGCAGCCCACTTTTGCTGTGCCCTCAGAAATTCAAACCAACTCGGACCACCAGCTAGTATACTGAGTGTCCCTGGAAATGCCTGATCACTTCCTATCTGTTGTCCTAGTTCTCTTGACAGCTGCTTCCTCACAGAGACGAGACCTTACTGGCCTGTGCTTGCTTGTTAAGCTTGGGGGTGTAAATGAAAAGTTGTCTTTCACTGCCTGGACATTGTGATTCTGCACGTCACTTTCAAAGGCACACCACTGCCCTGAATGTCAACATCACAGCCCACAACAGACTCCGTAAAACCCAGGACCTATTATTTTTGTTCTGAGGCAGGATCAGTTATACCTTGGTTTCAAAAGAGGTCTTCTCAGTTCGTCAGTGATAGACAACCTCTATAATTTCAACAGGCAACGGCTACAGTATTTTAAAATACCCGATTAAAATGGCTTTCCTAACTTAAAACTTGCACCTCTCTTGTTACAACTGAAGCTTGTTACTTATCCTTTCTAGCACAGACATGGAGAACTGATGATTTCACTGTTCCTAACAGGAGGGCATTTCTTAAACGTGTTTGAAGACACATCATATTCCTTTTTCTTCTGCATTTCCCTTTTCCCCATTCTGTAGTTTAAGCTATACAGTCAGAGGATCCCCTTCACCTGTCCTAATAGGCTATATCTTCTAAAGCTATGATCACACTGGCGTGTGGTTTTTGTTCCTCTAAGAACTACAGTTTTTCCACTATGAGGCCACTGGAGTGAGTTCCCCAGCCAAAAAAAAAAAAAAAGTGCATCTGTCAGCTAATCTCAAGAGGGAAAAAAGGACAAAATGAAGTCGCCTTGCACCCATTGATGGGATTTTGTCATCATTGCAGTGAACAGCTAACCCAAAAAGTAACTTTAACAGGTGAATTGAAAAGACACAGAGCTGGGGGGTTCACCAAGAGGATTCCAACCAAACCTGGACTTTGTTGACACATTTTACAAAACACAGACAAATTGAAAGGTTTAAATGAATGATCTGTTCCAGGACCAGAGTCCCACAAATTCTCTCATTATTCTTCTTCAGCAGAAAGTCTTTTCTTCTGGAGAGGTCCTGCTCATACACTTTGTAGGTCTGAAGCTGAATGGCATGCACATCAAATGACAGTCCATAGTTTAGCCCTTACTCAAACAATCAAGGCATCTGCTATGAAAGACTGTCAATGGAATGTAGCTTCTACAAAAGAGCCAAGGGCAGAACATCAGCTTTGAAGCCATGACAATAATTTTAACACAAGAGGTAGCCAGCAATATAGAGTATGCATTAAAAATGCTCTTTCTCACCACAGAGTTGAGAAAAACTAGGATGGCAGTAGGTGTGCTTCCCTTGATTTGAAGGCAATGGATGAGAGAAAGCAAAGAGTAAGCTCACCATGAGACAATTATTGTGAGGGAGACATCCTGATGCTGAGTGGTAGAATACAAGTGAAAAGTCTGTTGGAATGGTGTGTGAACTATCAGTCATAGGCAGAATTATGAGGAAACCCAAACCTGTTTAGTGCTGGGAGTTCTCAACTTATACTAATCGGGAATTGAGAGCATGCAACCTCGTGGATGACAGGAACTATTCTACTCAAATCGTGGTGCCCATAAATGTTTGTGCAACTACTTAAGATAGATGAAAAAATATCTGAAGATCTCTCACAAATTCCTATGCAATATGTAGCACTATGTGAATTTTATAAGAAACACTGCAGTGAAATACTTTCTGAAATGGAACTCTTTTTTTTAATATGAACTAGCTTTCCAGTGACAGTAAACACCTTTCTTCTGATCTGTAACAGTTTCTTTCTCAGTAGCATGGGCATGAATAGCAACATGTTGATAAAACCACACTGGGTTAACTGAAGGTAACCTAAAAACAAAATAGAAGCATGGAGAAGACAAGATAGTTTTGGCAGGAAATCAACTGACAGGAACATAGAATTAAGTGTTTTTAGAAACCAAATGGACACCAGTAAATATGGCAGTAACATTTAATTAACTCACACCAACACAGAAACAATTACATCCACTACAAAAATGTAGAACATTCTGCAATATCCACCACACAAACCAGGTCCTGAATTTTCATCTGCCATCTAGTAGCTGAAAAGTCTGTCTAGACTAACTGAGGGAATGCTGCCCATTCTTTGGGGCAGGGATGTATCTGTTAATGTATTTCTGTTGATTTCTTTGCTATATTTTTACCCTCTCCCTCCCCTTCACTTCTACCTGCTCCTACTCACGAGAAGGCTATGAAGGCTGTGCAGGTAATTCCACCAGAAATGGGAAGGCTGCACAATGATTAAACTGAATGAGGTGTTATGGACACAGCACTCCACAAGTCAGTACTTAAATGACAGGGGGGACTAAACCTTAATTAGCCTCCGCCTCACGCCACAAAAATCCACACCTGCAGAGTGAAAGTAGACTGCATATTGCATCTTCCTCAAGTAACACGAGGTGTCAACCAGTTAACTGCCCACTGTCATCAGTCACAATTCAAAATATTCCTCTCAGTTCCTGATAATTTAACCCCTTAACCTCTCTGCTGTGCTAGCACAATTTTGTAAGGCTACACATTGAACTGGGACAAAGAATGGATTTGGCTTTCAAACAAATCAAAACACTGGGGAGAGGAAATGAGCAGCAAGTGAAACTCCTTAGGCTTACATTTTCACTGCAGATAATGTACAGTTGATTCAAATTTAAAGGTTGTTGGGTTTTTTTAAGAAAAATGTACATAAATTAAAAAAAATATTATCTCGTTTTAATCATCCTAATCTTAGTAGAGTGGATTAAACTAAGATGCTAGGCATTCTTTGTGCAGAATAGAGCATTCACAGGAGGAGTTAACACAGGCAAACTGTTGCATTTTAAATTCATATTCCAATGTATTTCACAATAGCTCCCTTGGGGAGGGAGAGAGACAAGCCCTTATTTCCTCTGAAGGGCTTGAAACACGATCTGAGAAATCCAAGGTCTTGCGTATATGAAAACATACAGGCATATTAAGGTGAATCAACTATAAGTGATCGAAAACCTCTTCACTTCTTAATCAGAGTAACCATATGGGGGTTAAACCTGTTTTAATTTGTTGGCACCATCCGTTTAAGTGTTTCCCTGGAATTTTCTTGAATATTTCTTTATATGTAAACAGGAGAGAAGTTTTTGGGGCTGTTGCCTGAGTCAGAAGCTTTCTTTACCTTTGAGGAAACTGAATCTGAGACAGTAGGAGGAATCACAAGAGTTGGGGGAAGCTGTATGGGTGATTTTCAAAGAGAATTACATTCATAACTGTGGGAACATATTTGCAGGAGGGTGGGAAAGGTAAGCAGTTTTCCCTGCCCTCTTTTGCAGTGTGCCCTACCCCACCTCCTGGGTCTAGTCTAGCCTGCCTACTAAGTTGGGAAACATTCTTGCAATTAAAAAAATTCACAACATAGTTTGAACTTGAAAAAACATGTATAAAAAGATTTAGTGAAATGCTATGGACTAAAAGATTCCATCAGCCAAAACTGCCCACTTACATAAATGAAAAATGGAACATGAAATCAATTAACAGGAAGATTTTTCTTGGGTTTTAAGCATGTTTTTCAAAAGACTGTGCTTAGTGACACATGCAGCAAAATCATATTCTGAGGGCTTTGAAGTTTTTCTGAACCTCTTAATTTTTAAAATAAATAAACCAATCATAGCTGTATGCATGTAAAGGCTGATTGGTATGTAATAAAAAGCATTAAATATAACTACTGTAAGAAATATGATTCCTATAAGCTATGAGACATAATGGCAGTAAGGTTTATTTGTAACAATAGTTTGTAATCAAGCTATTCAAACAATGCAAAAGTTATAATAAATAATGCTCTGTATTATATGTTTAAGTTTATAGCTTTTAAAAGAAGAGAATGGAGTAATTCCATGCTTAATTCACTAGACAACAAAAGCCTTTATTTACAGAAATGCAGTTTCTCACATGTTAACTCAACAATGGAATTACCTCTCTCTGTAGACTTCACTCTTAGGTTTTCATGTCATTCCTTATTTCATGTAAAGAAAAATTCATGAAAAGTGAGGTATTGAAGCACTATATGAGTATAGATATTCTAAATTCAAAGCCCAAAGACCCAAATGGATACTTCTAGACATTCTATCCAGTAATAACATACAGATGAGGAGGCACTCACCTCTTATATATGCTATGGCACAAACAATCTGTAAGCTAAAATATAAAGAGGAAACTGGAAATAACTTTAGACCTAGTAAGGAGAAGGTTAGCAAAGCAAAGCAAAGCAGGGGGCTATAACCACCATCAGAAAACAAGTCATTTCACTCCATCACTGCAGTGTACTTACTCCAACATCACGTTGACTCTAATTCAACGATGCGGTGCCTGTGAGGGACAGAACACCTGTGTAAAGCACCGCCAGTCTGACATCGCCTTGCAAGAAAATATTTTCATCTTTATTAGTGTTTGTTTATAACATGAAAATGCAAAGTTTATGTCATAAATTAATTTTGTCAGAACTTTGATATGAAAAAGTAATAGATAATAAAGAACTAGGATTTAAGGATGATAACCCATGAATCACTGAAAAGCTTAGAGAGGCCTAAGGAAAAAAGGATCAAAGGCCTTTGAAAAACACTGAAGTTTTTGTTTTGATTTGTAGTTCAGCATTACTAAACCTACATGAGATTTGCCCACATGAGGTTTGCAAAGCTGTTTAGTTCTACAGGTTTTCTGATTTCCACAGTACAGCTTGTTTCAGTTGTTTCTTCTTCACCAGTATTTTATTTATTTTCAGTTCTATCACTTAACTCAAATGAAACAAAAAACCCATACAACATGAAAAAATTAATGTAGACCAGACAGACAATTTTCCTGCACTACTACTTTCTCTAAAGTATCTTGCTCAACAATTACACAAAAGGAGATGGTAAGAAAATGTCATCTGAAAGGCATCATGTTTGTGCATGCAAAGGTAATGCTCACTAGCCATAAATAACAGCTGAGGTTCTGAGGCCAACAGTGACAGAGAAAAGAGAAAATGCTTCCCTGTAATGTCAGATCACTATGAAGCCAGTTTTGATCAGGAACAAACACCTCCAAAAAGCAGAAAAAAAAATATATAGGCAGCACTATTTACGTTAACATTGTGAAAAAAAATATAGCAACTGCTAATCATCTTGGTTTACGTGATACAGAAATAGCTCAGTCAAAACCAAATTGAGAATTATTTTATTTCATATAGGACACCAAGATAAAAACCATTTTTAGTTGAAACCAACGTTGGCCACATTTGAACACCAGACTTATACACACAGCCTGTTGCAAATGTCTGATTTCTGTCCCAGTAAAAAAAACCCCAAAACATTTTCAACTGACCAAGGAAACCAGGTATTCTGTTGCCTGTCTTCAGAGAAACAATAAACACTCTGGTCCTCTCTACAAACTACCAGGTTCATTGATTTATCATTGATTTAAACTGGGTATATTAAAGTTTTGCATATGTGCATTTAAAATACAAGAGAAGTTGCATCTTTGTCAAAAAGATCATTTTAGTCACCACAAAGAGAAAGAAAATTTGAATTTCAGATGTGGTTTACATGTGTTGTTTACATTTTTGTGAACACTGGTACTGCTCTAAACACAAGAAAGAAGTCACATTTTACAGAACACTGCATGAAATCTGCAACCATGTGCCACCACAGTGAGAATGCCAATAGTACTTCCATCTGGAGTAACTTCACAGTCGGTAAGTAACCTTAGCAGAGAAGCTGGTAATTGCTGCCTACTGATAACGCACTAGATGAAAATGGCAAATCTCCATGGGAAACACATGTTCCACTGTCTCACAACTGCAGCAGTACTGGAGTGCTTTGTACCTTAAAAGACAACTTTTTGCAGAAAGGTGCTTCATAGACTCAATAGGCAAATTTTGTAAAAATAAGTATTTTCTTGGGTATATATTACGATACTCTTGAGCTTAGGTCACAGAGACTTTGTTAATGTCGGTCCAATTCTACTTTTTTCACCTTTAATTAAAACTCATTCACCTTTAATTAAAATGTCTACACCTGTAATTATATTTGATTACAGTGTTAAGAATAAAGAGCAGGATACACAAGAGCCAAAATAGCTATATTAAAAAGTCTAGCACATTATTGCTACGACATCCACCAAGACTGCCTAGAATTTTCTGCAGAATCGGACCTTTTTTGTTTTCCTTTTAAGCACATTTAATACTATTAAAAATATGTAAAATACAATACCTGACAGAAAATAACACCAGTGTATGTATCCAAATAAGGCAAACAACATACAAACAATAAAAGTTTCTATTTTTCTATAAAGATTCATACAACTGCTACTTCAACCTTTGAATTCTTAAGCAGCAGGCCAGCTCCCTGAAAGGGAACTCTGCCATTCAAAAACAATTTCCTAAAATTTGTTTTAGACAATTGCACCTCCTGAGACTCTAATCTCAGAAAGAAAATCCTCAGCAGAAATTCTCATGACATCACCTCTCCAGTCTCTTTCCATTTTAGTAATAGTTATGAATACAAACAAAAATCCAGAGCAATTGAATACTCAGCAAAAAGCAGGTGTAAGTCCTTGTCTAAGGGCTTCACGCAGCTGGGCCTTAGAAAAGCTATGAACATCTGCAATGCAGGTAAACTGAAGTCAGTTTTATTTTCTAGGCTAGGAATAATCTTCCAAACTGCAATGCAATCTGTGTGACAGATGAGAAATAAATGACCTGCTGTTTCCAGGGGATGCTGTAGATGCTCTTCCAAGTGTTCCGCAATATGATTACAAAATTCCTCCATGTATTTCCCTCCAAAGCAGCATTCTTTCCATTCACATTCACATGGTAATATCAATTCAGTGTTCTTAAATTTGCTTCCAGGCACCATTGCCTAAAATTGATTTATCAATTAGAAGCACAGAAAAGTTCTAGTTATCATATTACATTTCTGTAAATTTATCTTATAAAAATAGCACTTAAGATTACAGGCTCCTAGATGACACTAATGTTTTTCTTTTTCTGTTTTTATTTTTTGCTTTGTTTTGTTTTTTGGTTTTTGTTGGGTTTTTTGTTTTTTTAATTACTGGATACATTATTTTCAGAATTTTAGGATGTATTTTGCAAACACTTAACACCTTGACAGAAGCCACAAGTTGTAACATTTTCATTACAACCATACAGTAAAGAGTCCTATGATCACCATCCCAAACATTTGCTGAAGATGCCTTCATCGTAATTTAGCTCCAGGGCAGTACTGTAAAACCTCTTTCCACATAGAAACCCAAAGTAACCATTACCAAGAGTGCAATTCCACAGTCACTTTAGCCGGACATCAGTGTGGGCTCCCACCAAACAGGGCTGGTTCTATCTGCCCCTTCTTGTTCTTCTCAAGATCCAGCTCTGGAACTGGCAGAGCCAGCTACTAAACTGATGAGAAAACTGATCCAATTGAAAGCTAATTTTGGGGGGGAATGACTGACAGACAGCTAAATCAGTTTTCTGCTCAACAGGGTACATGTTTGTATCAGTATAAAGGAAGCATCGGAAATATAAACCAAGGATAAACAGTTACATAGTTTTTTCATTACTCTGAACAAATACAACAATAGCAAACTTCATTAAAAACTACTGGCTCATTCTCAGTGGTTTTCCACCCCCCCAGTCTTCCCTCTGTTACTAGCTTCAAAGATCTGCCAGTCCAACTGCTCAGAGGACCACTCCCTAACCTGCATTATTCCCAGCAATCTGGATTAGTTTTAAGAGTTTAATCAGCTGACGGATCTCAGTCAGCAGCAGACTTTGGAAGGAGGATAGTAACAAGCAGCTGGGAGGAGGTTCTTCATTTTCTCATCAACACGTGCAGATCTGGAAGACAAACTCTGTCCAATAGCCTAAAGCAGCAGCATAAAAGTCTGACTGTGTCTTCCCTGATGCTCTTACTGACTCTGTTGATTTAAAAAGTCAGGCATTGCCATAATACTGTGTTAAAAAAAATAGTGTGTAAGTGGAATCATAGAATAATTTGGGTTGGAAGGGACCTTAAAGATCATCTAGTTCCAACCCCCCTGCCATCAGCAGGGACACCTTCCACGAGATCAGGTTGCTCAAAGCCTCATCCAACCTGGCCTTGAACACTTCCAGGGAGAGGGCATCCACAGCTTCTCTGGGCAACCTGTGCCAGTGTCTCACCACCCTCACAGGAAAGAATTTCTTCCTAATATCTAATCTAAGTGGACCCTCTTCCAGTTTGAAGCCATTTCCCCTTGATTCCATCATTAACTGCCCTTATTAAAAAAAAACAAAACAAACCAAAACAAAACCCAGAACATGCAGGAATTAGCATGGCTACTGAATGGCGTTCAGCAGACCCTCTCAACATCACTGACAGTATCCTTGTACTTCCTGCTACTAGAAATACCAACGTGGAAGCATTCCCCCACCAGCGAGTTAATGACCAGAGAGCTGCTGAGAGAACTGATCACCTGAGACTGCAAGCGAGATTCTTCTACAACAGCCCTTTTATTTCACCCGTATTTCGGGTCTGATGGACCCGAAGCAGGAAATGCTGCCATCCCATAGAGACAGACTGGAAGCTGAGGAGATGGCCATTTCTGCTGCACGTTAAATCATCCACTGCCAAGTGCTTTAATAAGTTATTCGAGACACAATATTAATACTACTGGAACAAAATATTTCAAGTTCTAATTATCCTAATTGACCAATGATGGCATCCACAATATCCTAACAAGCAGACTAGACTAGAGGCAAAAACGAACAAGGGGAAAGCTCTGGGGGCGACTTTGACACCATCCCGTCCTGTCCCGTCCGTAACGACACAGACCCTCAGCGC